CCTCTTGAAGTGCACTGTTAAAAAAAAGTTTACTATTGCCACTTCCTATTTATTCCTGCAATTTTTGCGAGCCCTGTGTAATGCGACCGTGATGTACGTGCATCTTTCCATTTAAATTGTGTCAGAAAACTCACTGTGTCACACTAACAAGCATAGACTTGACACCGTCCGAGGCGAGAAATTGAGCCAAGCTTCATCTGATCGCACAGGGGTACTAACCCAACTCTTTCGCGAGAGGGGGGGGGGGCGACTAACCTACCGCAGTCAGCCAGTGTGTGTGTGTGTGTGTGTGTGTTGCGTGTGTGTGTGCGTGCGTGTGTGAGAGAGAGAGAGAGAGAGAGGAAGAGTTTTAATATACAAGGGACACTAAAGTCAAATAACTATTGACGTTAGGGTGAAAGACCAACAAATGTATGCCAACATCTAAAACGAAAATATTATGAACAACATGGTAATAAGGGCTGCAGCAGGAGCACGAAGGTGCTAGAAGAAACAGACGAAAGGCGAGGCACAGAAAGCAAAGAGCAGACAGCGCTCGTGTTGTCCTCTTTGCTTTCCGTGCCTCGCCTTTCGTCTGTTTCTTCTAGCACCTTCGTGCTCGCGCTGCAGCCCTTATTACCATGAATTCAAACCAACTAGCCCAAATAGCCATTCTTCATCAATGAACACCAGTGCCCTACTTACCGAGAAATTGAGGCAAATGCACAATAACATATGCGCCGCCTAACGTTACTATGGGATAGGCACAAGTGATTCTAAAATTCAAGTTTTGCGTAATTACACTACAGGTGGTGCCATCTAGCGGGGCGCAGTTCAATCAAAAACGTCTAATCTCAGAGCAAATGGTGGGAAATTTATCAATGGCCGTTGTTGCTGCTCTGGCTCTCGCGCTGATTTCGGTCTGCTGCTACTAATTTCTACGATTTCGGTCTGTTGCTTGGCTTTACTAACGCAGTAGAGCCGAGCAACGTTGCGCACGGCAACAGTGACGCGAGTCGGTCCGCTTCTTGAGGCGGGTAAATTGAAGTGCGCTAACCCGACGCGGACCACTAAAACGTGATTTTAATTCAAAATAGACCCTTCCTAGGCACAAAAGTAACACTACGATATTTCTGGGCCACTATTTCAACATTCAACTCGATTTATTAGTTGCATTTAGTGTTCCTTTAATAGCGTAAAAAAGCATGCACTGGGACAACACTATAGGTTTGTCATGCATGATGCATGTAATAATATTGCGCTTTTTATGCAATACTTCACAACTTTCTGCATGAATACTATTATGTTGATGGCGGCCTCCTCAACAGTAAGTATTTTATCATTGAATGACACTTTTGATGACTAAAATCAGCTCATAAAGAATTCGATTTAACTGTCAAGCACGCCTTGAAGAACCAAAGGTATTTCGAGCATCTCTATCTACTTATTTTAGCTTCCCACTGAGTTCGAGTCTACTGCTTTGTCCGTCACCGCTTTACAAGCTGCCTCCGTAGCTCCAAGTTTCCATAAGCAAGGCTGATCAGATCAGAAAGCGGAAACCTTTCTTGGCACTTTCAGTACGGCAAAACTAAATTATTTCGAAAGGGGAGCTCAGCCCCCCTCAACATTTCTCAGTGGAGGTAGGCGCTTGTGCTTCCCTTGACCCCCCCACCGGCCCGGCTGATACGCCTGTGTGATTGCATGATGTAATGTACTCGTACGAGCCAAGCTTAAAGGAACGGCGTGCAGTCACGTACTGCGGCATGGATGGCCTAATTGACACAAAGAACACGAGAACCGTCTGAGGCAAGGACTTGAGCCATTTTTAATGTGAATGCGTGATGTGATGTATTCCGTAAATATGAGCCAAGATCAAAAGAACGGCATGCAGTCCCGTACTGGCGCATGAATGGCCTAATAACCATAGCCTTGACAAGGAGAACACACGAGAACCGTCCGAGATGAGAAATTCAGCCAGGCTTTATGTGAACGCGTGATGTGATGTATTTCGTATGAACCAAGCTCATAGGAACGGCATGCATCCCGTAGTGCAGCATGGATTGTCGCTGTTTCGTTAGCGCGGCCTTCCATATTGCACCGGTCAGCAGGGTCTTCCGCGTTGCCTTCTGGTCTGCGCAGATAAGAAAGCATACAGTCAGTGAGACACAGTATCGCTGCGCAGTGACTATACTAATTGTGTGACCGGTCCTTGCGCGGCGCAGTGGATGCGTTGCCATTTGCCAGATTATTTGTGTGGAAAAAAACAACTTGTCGGCAAAAGTGAACCCACTCTCCAGCTCAACATACAAACATGGCATATACAGGGTGTTTCAAGAAATGTGTCCAATATTGTTTAAAAATCGTTAAAAGATGCTATTTGCTCGCTGTCATCACAGTTGCTTTTTTCTGTCGCGTTAGGCATCTTAAATGTTGAAGACGTCATCTGTAAAGGTAATTAGGAAAGTTAAGTTAATTAACTTCTTAGTTAGTGGAGTTCAGCAGTTTAGTTAAATAGGAGAATTGAGGTCTTTGACGCAAAAAGCTCATTGCAGCTTTGAGAGTTCAGAAAAGCGGCGTCTAGCAATACCTACGAATTAATGAAATTCTCCTAAATTTCATGGCGGAACCGAAACCAAAGGGCCGATGAGTGCAACAAGCAGACGACTACAATGACGTCACTGTTCCAAACAACGGTTACTAGGGTGCAGTTCCTCCCCGTTCAATGACGTATGGGTGGCAAGCGCAGCCCACACACTCGCACAGTGAAGTCGATTGATTGTGTATATTACAACGATCCCTCATTTCAGTTGCGCTCTTTCGCATTTCGCTACAGACTTGGAGATAATTTTATTAATTAGCATTTAATACTAGAGGCCGCTGTTTCGAAATCGAAAACCGGCAATCGGTTCTTTGAATGAAGGTCATCATTTATCCCATTTGACTTATCAGCCTAGCTCCACTACTTAAAACGTTAGTTACAATAGCTTTCCTAATTCCTGTTTCAACAACATATTCAGCTTTCTTAAGATACCTGCCACTATAGAAAAAGCAACTGTGAAAACAGCGAGCAAATAGCACTTTTTCCAGATTTTGTAAAAATCATTGGACACATTTATTGAACACCCAGTATGCAGGGTGGGTACAATATTCTTAAAAATGAGGAAAAAGCGCCATTTGCTCGCTCTCTTCACAGTTGCTTTTCATATAGTGGCAGGCATCTTAAGAGGATTGAAGATGTTATTGGAACGGTAATTAGAAATTTTTAAAAAATTAACTCATCTTAAAAATTACTGCACTAATTACAGACAATTAACTCCACTAAAGGATAAGGTAGTTGATGTAACTTTCGTAATTACCGTTCTAAATGATGCCTTCACCCTTCTTAAGATGCCTGCCGCTACACAAAAGCAACTGTGAAGACAGTGAGCAAATAGCGTCTTTTGTCGATTCTTAAACAATATTGGACACATTACTTGAAACACGTACCCTGTAGATTCTCTGTAGAAACTGTGACCAATTTCTTGTGCGCTGCACGGCGCATACCAGCAACCACATACAGCGGCCCTTTAACTGGTTTTACACACTTCTAGTAATGAGCAGTCGTATATGAGATGCTAAGAGATCACCGAAGTGCCGCGACGTAATTAAACGTAACAAAGGGCTAAACGAGGAAGCTCAGAGGGGCATACCCGACTTGCGGCGGCGTGACAACGTGGTGCTGAGCGGTGTTGGACACCAGGCTTGCGTAGTACAACGGAGCGGGCCTGGAAACGCAGCGCGTGCAGCGCGGGTACGTGTGGCACAGCTGATAAGTCAAAGACTGCAACTCATCTTGCGTGAAGCAGTTGTCGTCCCACCGAACGCGGTAGTGTGACGGCCGGCTGGTCCCCTGCAACACAATGAACGCTTGAACAACGCGAAAGCAACGAAACCAGTTTGTTCCACTGCAATATTTATAGGAGGTAGCCGTGAGGTCTCACCACGTGTACGTGTCGCAACGCGTACATATGGTCAGGCCTATAGCTTCCTCATCAAACGCGCAAAGCGCCCGTAGACGGCGTCAGCATGAGTTGTTAAAAGAACCATTACAATGTGTCAAGGTCGGGCTGCCGTCACCGATCGACGAATTTCGTGAAGTATTCATGACGACGTCACCAGACCACATCGTCATTTGGTGAATATCGTGCAGATACGGAGGCACTGCAAACACGCATGAGGTGCATAAGCTGCCCATCAGGGTTGCCATCTTACTACACTCGGATACAACTTAGGAAGTCAGGGAGGCCCCGCCCAGACGACTCAAGCGTGGCAGCCGATCTCCTCAGCGACAAAAGAAGCAGTCCCGCTCTTGCCCTCTGACAGTTCTCTGCAGACGGGGCCAATGGCCGGCCGCCTGATGACGTCAGTCTAAAGTACACGCCCAGGTGCGTTATCTAGAGAAGCCCGGATGAAACCATCTTATATTGCCTTTGAAACTGAAGTTGGCGCAGGCTCGTGAGCCTCCACCTTCAAGGAGGAAATGCTGTTGCGCTTCGGTCATCTGGAGGGGGTTACCCTAGTTGTACCCGACTCTACTAAGAAATCCGGCTCTCTACAACGTTGGAGGAAAAGTGGTATTATACAGGCCATTGAACCTATGGGGATGCCATGTTGAGTCGGTTCTCACATTCTTTTCTCAGTCAGAAGTAGAAAAAAGGTTGTACGAAAAGATCTATGGCGACGACATTGACCACTTAAGCAGCCTAGGCAAAACATGAGTGGAAATAAATTACCCGCACGACGCTCTAACGTCTCTATAACAGAGACAAAAAACGATACTCTGATTGTATTTTTTGAAAACATACCTTAGGTGACATTCTGCTGAATTCTTCGTCGTGACGAAAACGTTTTGCTCTCCAAATTGTTTAGAACTCACTTTCCATTCAATTTAGAAATTCAAATAACCATTTGAGGTCGTAGCCAAAATGGCTAGGTGATTTGGCGTTCGTGTTATAGAGGCTTTACTTATGCACTTCTAATAAAAACATGCGGGCGTCTCTGACCACTACAAATGATATCTGACTAGACGGACATTCCAATATTAGCAAAAACAATAAACACACCCCAGTAATAATTCGGAACATGCACTATATCTCGAGGAGCCTATAGGTGAAACTGCATCTTATATTGGCAATTCCTTTGAAACTGAAGTATAAATTGTACACACTACTGCTGGAAATCTAACTTCCAACGCACGTTCCCCAAACTTTACAACACCTCTTGCAGACAAATCCTCCGGTATATTTTGTTGCTTAGGCAGGCTATTAAGCACGTAGAAATTGATCAGTGAGGTTGAGTTTTCTTTAAGTCATGCTTTTACATCGCAGGTGTGATATTTGTGTGGTGCACACAGTCACTATTTGGTAGTGGCCTAAAAGCACGCATCCGTCGGGAGAGGGAACAGCGAATGTTGCTGCCAACCTGGATGCCCGCATGAGAGCAGAGGAAGAAGTCAAACTCGGTAGGGTGCGTGATGTCCGTGTCGACCGTGGTGCCAGGGGGGATGTTGCCGCTCCTGCCTGTCCGCTCCTCCTTGTGGGAACAGAACAGGCGCGTATGGTGCCGCCTCTGAACGACCACATACGTGAGGCCTGGCTTGTAGTCAGTCTCAAGTCTGGAGCACGCCTCTCGAATGGCCGCCACTTCAGTGATCACTACCCGCTCGAGCTGGCTCTCAGGGACGGCACCTCTGTACATGACGATGCGCACTGGCTTCCAGTGTGTCGTCTTGTAGAATCGAGTCAGCATCTCCTTGACCATACTTGTCAACTCTTGAATAACTTCTTGGTGGCCCGTCTGCACTCGCACGGTGGCCCCGTACCGGCACGGATGAGCGTCCATGCTGCCCGTCACCTGCAACATCACAAATCGAAACCCGTCTCACTCTCTGAAAATCCCCGAGTCCTCGCACATATACGAGCACGTCTTTACTCCGCGTGACTTAATGGTACCACCTTAATTATCTTCCTGTCATAAACACTCTGAATGAATTTAACAGTTTGGGTAATCTTTATGAATTCATAACGTAAAACTAATGGACGATGAACGACGGCCATAACCAGACCTCGTTATTGGCAGTCGTTCGCCTCAATTGTATGTCACAGTGTGCGAAGGAGAGGATCGAAGGGAGAGCAGTAGCGGGTCCAGCCTGATGTGTTCGAACAAGTCCACGCAAGCGAGTACGTGAAACGATAGTTATAGCGCGAGAACAACGACGACACAGAGACAAAAGGGAAAAACTCCTTCGTGTCCTTGTCTCCGTGTCGTCGTTTTGTTCTCGCGCTATAACTATCGTCATGCCATACCAACTAGCCCACTGCCACACTTCTGAGTACGCGAACTCCCAAAACAGGAGAGCTGTAAAGAAAGGAGAGGACGGCGCGATCTGAGAGTCGCAAGTCGCACGAGGAAACGCCCGACCACACGTACTGCACGCGTTGCAGCACGTCCGTGTTGTCAGGCGAAGAACCACGAGCAGAATCGGCGCTTAGCCCTCTCCCTGTGGAGAGACGCCGTGCAGGTGTAATGGCGTCATTAAGCGTGTGCGCGATGCCAGCGCCGCCACAATATCCAATAGGCGGCGCACGCAACTTGAGCGCTTTGTGAGTAACGTCGATCGCTTTTTTTTTTATAGCACTCGACTGAATGTTAAAGCGCGATTGTACACTACTGTAAATACTGCCGCAAACGTACCCAAACCCCAAACTCCATTTTCCAAGCGTATTTACTGCAGGCCTGTAGACGTTCTACAGTCTAATGAGACCCGTAACATTCTTAAATATTGCGCGTGAAAAGGATAAACCTTTCTAGCCTAGTTTTGGGTATTGACGAAACGTCACTTTTCGACCTACAGCTACTTGATGGTGTCTACAGGGTGTATGTGGCCCTTTCCATTCGGTTTGAATTAACTATCGTCGTGGCTAACTGAATGTGCATTACTCAACTAAATCTCCATTATCATTTTTATCGTACAAACGATTAACTTGAACTATCACTGGCTCTCATGCTGGCGATCATTTTCCCCGTTCAGAGGCAGGTCGTTGCTGTACATATCGACTGAAGCCACAGAAACGGCTCGCTCAGTGGGCGATATGCCTGCCATAGCGTAAAAACACGCCAGGGCTACCTGTACAGTGATATCTCTGAATAGCACTACTTGCATCTTCATTAACGACGCAAGCAGAAAAAAAAAAATCGCAAGGACCACACTATCACCTTCAATAGGATGAAATGTGACTGAGCTAATTCGCCTATCTTTGCTAATCCGAAGGTTTATGAAGGCACCCAGGTATTTGCTTATCCCTCATAAAGGATGCCATGGGTATATTCGTCAACAAGCCCACCAGCGGGTTTACGAATGAGATTCCATGAGGGTTGAGATAAGTACTGAAGTGGTTTGAGATTGCGCAACTTCTGTATATATTTCTCACCATCCTGCGCAATGAGCTCTTGAAATATCTCTCGGTTCTTTCTCAGCTACTGCATGACTAAATAAATAAATTGAAAGCAGACAGGCGAAGCAACAATGGGATTAGCGAGGTCATTCCACGCCAACTCTCACACTCGCAGCGCTCTACAAAAACTAATTGTTCTGAAACAAAAAAGCTAAGAACGTTACACACACAGCTCTACAATATTTTTACGAAGCAACTTTGCTACAAAACGAAATTGGCGATCAAATGCTCATAACATTTTTTGAAAACTTTCCATAAAATGCACTTTTTTTCTGCATTGCGTATTTTACCTGTGTGCGGCGCATAGGCGCTAAAGAAAAGAGCCTGAACTTGGGGAAAGCCAATAAGCCACGCTGGTCTGTAGTAGCTAAGGCACTCGGCTGCAGACCTGCAGGTCGCGGGATCGAATACCGGCTGCGGCGGCTGCATTTCCGATAGAGGCGAAAGTGCTTGAGGCTGGTGTGCTTTGATTTAGGTGCACGTAAAAGAACCGCAGGAGGTCGAAATTTCCGGAGCCCTCCAATACGGCGTCTCTCATCATAGCGTGGTTTTGGGACGTTGAACCCTAACAATCATCATTAATTATTAAAAATGGCGCTGCGCTTTACGCGGTAGGCCTGGTGTTCGTTTTCCACAGAGCTGCATCGGTGCCTGAAATTTCATCGCAAAAATACACAATTCAGGCGTCATATCTGGCGATCAATAATTGTTAACGGAGCAAACGTACCGTTCTAGATGAGTAAAATAACGACAAGGAGTCGCACAATGCGAATTGCGTCCAGAACTGCTCATTACGAAGGACTATAGGGCATAATTTTTTCTACGTCGCTTGCCGCAAGAATATACACGAATGTATACTTATATGCTTTACAGACGATGAATAGGTACCTGTTTCACCACAGAGAGAGAGACCGAATAAATTGAGAGAGTAAATTTGGTCAACCAGGATTGTAGCACTTGGTTTGCTACCGTGCACTATAACGGGGGGGGGGAAATATGGAAGATCGAAAAGAAAGCAATGAGAAAAGTGACGCTCGAAAAAATACTAAAAATAAAAAGAGCGGAAATGCTAGCGTATCAGAACGTTCAATAAGGCTTTGATCAATTTTCTGTGCGTACAGAGATCAAGCTGGCAACTACCGAACTACGTCATTATTTGTCATTGTGCGGAGAAGTGAGAGGCACTTGCGAGACTATAGTGCGCACTTGTTGGTGTGGTGGCTACAGACGATTTGCAGTGGGATGAAGGCATGCAGCGACCGACCTGCCCGTAACGCAATTCGCATGGCGTGACGCCTGGTTGTTCCTTTGGTGCTTGCAAACGCTTTATTGGACACGTTGACCCGATCGCTTTCCCGACACGAAGCCTGGTCAGTTTGCAACGGAGTTTCAAGCACAGGCGTAGCTCAGTGGCTGGCACGCAGGGGGACGACACGCGCAAATGCACGCCTTCCGTAACGTCGTCCGCAACCCTACAGACATGACATGCCTCGCAATTTTACCGTGAAAGCTGTTACGAGATTAGAACTGGGGTCTCGTGCAGCGCCGTAGTTGTCCGCCGCCGGCGATGTTCGTAACATCGCGCGAAATTGGAAAAACCTAGTACCAATAACACAGTGGAGCTCGAACCCGGGTCCGCTGGGTGCTAGCCCAGTAGCGTAACGAGTGGGTCGTCCAATGCTCCAACCCATTACAAAAGCTTGTTCAGCTATTAACTCTGGCGCAAACCCACTTCAGGCATAATTCCTCATCGTCGGCAGCTACTGCATGAACAATTGGCACGGAATTCCTCGCTATATTTAAGCCAATACCACGATTCTCAGAAAAATGAAATATAGCATTGCGAAGGCCGGCCTAGTACCCCAAAAATGTATCAATGCCGGTATCAAGCACATGTGCTTGCAGCAGTTACCCAATGAGTGTTTATAAAAGTCTGAAAGGCCGCTCTTCTAGCTTTCGCTGCGACTGCACTGCGCGCCTTCCGCGCAGGCCCTGGCGTTTTATGTTTATTTTTTCCACATCAGATCTTAGGCTAAAGTATGATGTGTCGGACAAGTAACATGCACCGTTACAGCTGCTATACCACGACAGCAGCCGATTTTCGTAGCTTAGTTGCGCGCCGCCACTGCCGCCTGTCATGTGCGTAAGCAACTCAGTAATTAACGCGACTCACCATTGAGAGAACCCAATGGCACTTTGATATTCCACCTCTGTTTAATATTACATCGATGCGTCGTAAACAATATGACGTGCTGACAAAATAAATTGAAAACAATGTGCTATGAATAGACTATACACCTCATTTTTAGGCAGCAAATTCGGCAGGTTTGCACTGTCCCCATAGAAAAAGACAATGCAGTGGGGCTAAAGATCAAATTTTTTTTAGTTATGCTAAAGAAAAAGTGCTATTAAGCTTACCTAGACAAAGCTATGCGATTCTCGATCGTGCACGCTTTTCTGTTTATTTTTTCTTGGACCACCTTAGTGTGCAACAGAGGGCTTAACATGGGCCAAAGTGGCGCTTTCACTAAGTTATGGGTTTTATTGTAGGGCCTATGCACTCCGCACAGGTAAAACACGAGTTTCATCATCAAAAGTCTTGTCAAAATAATTTGTGAATTTGAATAACAATTTTTGCGTGAAAAATTGATGAAGTGTTATAAAGCAGATATGAAGAACGAAATAAATATGCTCGAAAAGCGCGAGAAAGTAAATATTGAAGGAATTCGCGGTACGTTTATAGCAAATCATCTTTTTGTGGCTGGCTTTTCGACATTTCGGGAAGTTCGAATGGCAATCGCATGGGGAAAAATATCGCCACTAAAATATTTTGGGAAAGTTCTGTAGAACTTGGTGTATATAAGTGTAACTTTTGTTTTCATTTTTCTGAGCGAAATTCACGTTTGTCGAGCACTACGTTGGAGACCTGTGGGGTGGAATGACCCAGCATTCAATATTGGAGGTGGTGCAGGTATAATTTAGTTTTATTACCCCAGCGCACCACAAGTCTAACATTTTTTTTAGGTTTATAAAACTAGTGTGTTCTTGAGGGTCACATCAGTGGAGAAATAGCACGCAAGAAACATTCGCTGCTCCTTCCCTCTCTGCTCTCCAGCATGGTCTAGTGGCTAGGATACCTGGCTCTCATCCAGGAGGCCCGGGTTCGATTCCCGGTGTCGGAAGTATTTTCTTTTCTCTGCTGTCATCAAGTCTCCAATTCGCGCACGCTATATACCTTCAATACTTTTACCGTGTTGGCCGAATGGCTAAGCGATTGCTCCGTCCCTCTCCGTTCTCCGGCATGGTCTAGTGGCTAGGATACCTGGCTCTCACCCAGGAGGCCCAGGTTCGATTCCCGGTGTCGGAAGTATTTTCTTTTATCTGCTGTCATCAAGCCTCCA